TATGTAAGTATTACGATGTTTTTATTACTATGGCTTTGTAGTACAATTTGAGATTGGGGGTAGTTGTGCCTCCAGCAGCCCTTTTATCATTTAGGATTGTTTTAGTTATCCTGTTCTCTCTCTCTCTCTCTCTCTCTCTCTCTCTCTCTCTCTCTCTCTCTCTCTCTGTGTGTGTGTGTGTGTGTGTGTGTGTGTGTGTGTGTCTGTTTCCATATGAAGCTGAAAATTGTACTTTCAAGTTCTGTGTAGAGTTGTGTTTGAATTTTGGTGGAGAATTGTTGCAGGAACCTTTCCTGCCCATTGTATTTACAATAGAGCTCTTTGATTGGGCAGTAGAAGAGAGAGGTGGGGTGAGGAGTTGGGAGGAGGAAGAAAGGAGAAAGAAGAGGGAGGAGAAGGGGAAGGAGAGGAAAAATGGTGGGAGACATCTGTGTCTCTAGGAGTCTCGGGTAGTGAAACCATGTCAAAAGGTTAGATATTGGGTAGCAATTCCAATTGTGTGGGCATCTTGTGTATTGAGTATTTGCTGATATATAATCCATTGGATAATCTTTAAGCATTAAGAGTCTCATTTCTACCGGGTACTAGAATTGTTATATCTACTGCATGGGGGTGGTGGTATTGGGGCATGGACTCCATGGAGATGATTGGCAGAGGCAACAGCCATGCCAACTTTTCGTGGATCCCAGGCCAGCACTCCTGGCAAGCTGGTGCCACTGTTAGAATGGGAACTTAGAGCAGGAACTTGGCAGCGGCCAGGGAGCTAGCCAAGCCACTTTTTCAAATACTTCCCGCTACAGAGAATGTATTGAATCTGTAGATTGCTTTAAGTGGGATAGCCATTTGCACAATATTATTCCTACTGATCAAGGAGCATGTAAGATCTTTCCATTTTCTGGTATCTCCTTTAATATCTTTTTTGGTGTCTTTCTTTTTTTAATCATAAAGACTTTTTTTTTAAAGATTTATTTATTTATTTATGAATATACTGTAGCTGTCTTCAGACACACCAGAAGAGGGCATCCAATCTCATTATGGATGGTTGTGAGCCACCATGTGGTTGCTGGGATTTGAACTCAGGACCCCTGGAAGAGCAGTCAGTGCTCTTAACCGCTGAGCCATCTCTCCAGCCCTCATAAAGACTTTTAATCAAGTCTTTTGCTTGCTTGAATAAAGTTACTCTATGATATTCTGTATTCTTAAGGCTATTGTGAAAGGTGTTTCCCTGATTTCATTCTCTGTCATTTGTATACAGGAAAGCTACTGCTTTTTCTGTGTTAATTTGGCAGGGTTGGGTGGGAACCTGGTTTTGAAACCAGGTTTTTCTATGTAGCCCTGTATGTCCTGGAACTCATTCTCTAGGCCAAGCTGGCCTTGAATGCACAGGGCTTCTATTGCCTCTGCTTCCCAAGTCCTGGTATTGTGTACTAATTTTGTATCTTGCTAATTTGCTGAAAACATTTGTCAGCTATAGGAGTTTCCGTTTTAGGGCTGTTTAAGTATACTAACATATCATTTGCAAATAAAGATATTTTGATTTCTTCCTTACCTATCTGTATCCCATGGATCTTTTCCAGTTATCTTATTGGTCTAACCAAGACTCCACTACTTTATAGAATAGGTATGGAGAGAGTAGCCAACCTTGTCTTGTTCCTGATTTTAATAGAATTGCTTTGAGTTTCTCTCCATTTAAGTTGGTGTTTGCTATAGGCTTGATGTAAACTGCCTTTATTATGCTGAGCTATGGCCCTTGTATCCCTAGTTTCTCCAGAACTTTTATCATGAATGGGTGTTGGATTTTGTCACGGGCCCTTTCTTCATCTAATGACATGTTTATGTGGTCTTTGTTTTTCCATCTGTTTATATGATGGATTACATTTACCAGTTCATGTATGTTGAACTACTCCCACATCTCTGGGATGAAGCCTGGAATGAGCATGGTGGATCCTTTTTTGATGTGTTTTTGAATTCCATTTTTGCAGGTATTTTATTGAGAATGTCTGTGTCCATGTTCATAAGGGAAATTGGTCTGTAATTCTCTTTCTTCGTTGGGTCTTTATGTGGTTTGGGTATCAGAGTATTTATGGCCTCATAAGAAGAATTTGTTTTTGTTCCTTCGATTTCTATTTTTTTGATTAATTTGAGGAGTATTGGGGTTAACTCTTCTTTGAAAGTCTAATAGAATTCTGCACTAAAACTATCTGGCCCTAGACCTTTTTTGTTTAAGAGACTTTTAATGACTGCTTCTATTTCCCTGGAAGTTTTAGATCTGTTTAAACTGATATCTAATCCTGATTTAACTTAGGTAGGTGGTAGAGGGAGAAAATTCTCCATTTCTTTTAGATTTTCAAATTTGGTGAAGTACAGATTTTTAAAGTATGTTCTTACAACTCTCTGGACTTCCTCAGTGCCTGTTATGTTTCCCTCATCTGTCTCTAATTTTGTAAATTTGGATATGGGTTTGTCAATATTCTTGAGTTCCTCAAAGAACTAACTTTGTGTCATTGATTCTTGCCTTTTTTTTTTATCATCTTGATTTCATCCCTGAGTTTTCATATCTCTGTCTACTTCTCTTGGCTGTGATTTCTTCTTTTTGTTTTGGAGCTTGTGGATGTGCTGTTAAGGGACTAGTATGAGGTCTCTCCTTTTAATATAGATACTTGCTGCAATGACCAGACCTCTTAGAACTGCCTTCATTGTGTTTTAGTTTTGTCTTAATTTCCGTCTTGACCCATTTTTCATTCAATTGAGAGTTGTTTAGTTTTCATGAGTTCATAAGCTTTCTGTTGTTTCTGTTGTTCTTCAGCTTTCTTCCAGTAGTGGTTGATAAGATGAAGGCTGTTATTTCAATGTTCTTGTATCTATTGAGACTTGCTTTGTGTCCAAATATGTGGCCAATTCTGGAGTAAATTCCAAGAGCTACTAAGAAGAGGGTAAATTATTTTGTGTTTGGGTGAAATATTCTATCAGTATCTGTTAGGTCTGTTTGGTTTATGGTGTTAGTTGGCTTCAGCATTTCTCTGTTTAGTTTTTTTCTGCATAACCTGTGCATTGTTGAGCATGGAGTGTTGATGTCTCCCACTCTCACTCTGTCAGGATCAATACATGATTTAAGCTGCAGTAGTGTCTCTTTTTATGAACATGGATGCCCTGTGTTCAGTGCACAGATATTAAGAATTGAAATACTCCCTTGGTGGATTTCTCCTTTGATCAGTATGTTGTGTCCTTCCCCATCTTCTCTGGTTAGTTTTGTTTTGAAGTTTTATTTTGTTACATATTAAAATGGCTACACCAGCTTCCTTCCTGGGTTCATTTACTTGGAATATCTTTTTCAAATCTTTATCCAATGTTTATCCTTGAAGTTTGGGTGTGTTTCTCTTGGATGAGGAAGAAAGATGAATTCTGTTGTCATATCCATTCTGTTAATATACCTACTTATTAGGGAATTGGGACCATTGATATAAAAATATGTCAATGACCAATGATTGTTGATTTTTCTGTTGTTCAAATAGGCTATTTTAAGACAGCCTTTTATGTTGGAATATTCAGGGCCTGCTGTGGTGGGATTGTTGGGCTATAGGGAAGACATAGTGTCCTGGCTATAATTGATTGTCTTTTTACACTGGAGTCTAGCCATCTGGGTTTGTGATGATTGTAATTCTAGGTGATGCTATTTGGTCTTGTCTTTGTTGAGTGGGCGTTATGTTTCTTGGTTTCTGAGACCTTTTCTGGTCGTAGGAGAGTGTGTGATGGTTGTGGGTTGCCTGATAGGGCATGCTTCTGAGATCCTGCGGGTGTAGCCTCTGGGGACTCTGACTAGAATGCGTTTCTTATATTGAGAGCTGACATTAAAGGTAGTTGTAATCCACTTGAGGTGCCGGAGTAGTCAGGCCCCACCCTTAAGACCCCAAGCTCACCAATCCCTACCCTGGAAAACACTGCCCCCAAGAAACCCTATCTATAGAAAGTCTGAGTTCAGCTCAGTTCTTTGCTGCTTCTTCCAGAGCAGAGGCAGCCTCCTCCCCCCAACCCTCCCACCGCCTCCCGTCTTGTGTCTTTCCCAATAAATCTCTTGTGTGTGTGAGGTTTGACATACAGTGTGACTGTGGTATTCCTCGCTCTAGATTTCCAGGATTCCTTTCCCTTCAAAGCTGTAACACTTGCATTGGGAAAACCTTTTTTCCCTCAGAGCTGTAACACTTACAATGGAATAGAAGCGCTCTGAGGAAAACCAGCCGTTCCACTAGGATCGACTTAGTCCCCTGGGAATGGGGGCAGAGGAGGAGGAGAGGCCACGGGAGTCTGCTACAGAACTGGGAATTAGACTTGGGGGTTGATATGGAGAAGGAGAATAAAGATCTGAAGTTGGTCTACCAGCTTCTCAGGCAGAGGTCAGCGGGTTCCCACGGAGTGCCTGGGGGAGCTGGAGGCTGATGCTGTGAGATAGCCTGTAGGAGAAGGTCTGTGCGATCTGCTGGAGATGGGAGAGAGAGCAAGGGAGGCCACAGCAGATGGTCTGCTACAGAGCTGGGAATGAGACTGGGGAATTGGATTTGGAGGAGGAGAAGGGAAGGGAAGCTTTGAAGGTCACCTCCCTGCTTCTCTCTCTTCTGGGTTTTGGGTGAGGTAAACCAGGTTTGAGGAACTGCTAACCAATAAGCAACCAATAAACACCACTGAAGAATGTTATACAGACAGTTGATAATTTTTCAAATGCTTGATTGACGTGGGGTAGGGGCATTTTACCTTGCTTTAAAATTTAGCTAATAAAATTAATTGCTTCAAATAAAAAATTTGAAAATAAAAAAATAAAAATTAATTAAAGTTAGTAAATAAAATAAAAATGGTCTCAAATAAAAAATTAATATAAAATACTTCAACTGTTTTTATGCCGGGATTCCTCTAAATTACAAAGCAATTTGTGGGACATCTTAATAGCAATAGTTCTTTCCTTTTATATAAATTTGCACCTCTTAGAAGTCTGCTTTTCTATTTTACAGGTATCTTAAAATAAAACATGCTTGGTTTTACGTCAACCATTGGATTTTGCTGGAGAACCTGAGGCACATCAAGGACCGGCTGTAGTAGCCATGGCTTTCCTGGGGGAGCAACAGACCGGCTGAAGAAGCTGCATGCAGAGTTCATCCTGATTAACAGTGATGCATCAAACCAGGGCATGTCTGTCACACAAGCATGCGACACGGTTTCTTTGGAAATATGCATCTTTCACTTACGATGATATCAGCTCTTATCATAGCAACAAAAACATCCACACTGCAGATCAGTCTTTGTCTTCAACAAACAATTCAAATTATTGCTATCAGTGACATCCCGTTATGATTTTTATTTGGTGGGGAGGGGCTTCAGCAAGCACGTGTTTGGTAAAAATACGATTGAAATAATACATGTCTTCCAATACAAAAGGAATAGAGCACGCCTAAGCGACGATAACCGTGTCTAACCAAGTGATGATCACTTAACGTTAAGGCAACTGAGTTATTGTGTGATCTAAACACGTGTGAAATAAGATTATGGAAAAAACAACAAAAATATAAATGTCTTTTCCTCATGCAACTATTCCCAACACACTCCTGAAAGTCTAAACTCCCATTTTTGTTTGTTAATCCCATGCACTGATTTTTATAATAGTCTCCTAGTCTGTGAGGAAGACACATCCCTCAATAGCCATTGTCCAGAACACACTAGATTCAGATGTGTAATAGTAAACATATCACCTGAAGTGCACGGAGGACATGACATCATGCCTGATCAACTGTGATGTTAAACTGCTTATTTTTAACCTGTTTGTTTCCACTGTAGCAGAAGAAAAATTAACTGGAAAAAAATTATTACCAGTTTAATAATGGCATGGAAAATGCCATTTTGTAAATCAACAGAAAGTAAAATATTCTTCAAAAACTTTTCACTTGATAAAAGATCCCCTGACAACTTTGCAATTAGAAGCTATGCCTTTCTCTTTTTCTCTCCCTCCTTCCTTTCTCCTCCAAGACAGGATTTCTCTGTGTAGCCCTGGTTATCCTGGAACTCACTCTGTAGACCAGGCTGACCTCACACTCAGAGATCTACTTGCCCCTGCCTCCAAAGTTCTGGGATTAGTGGTGTGTGTCACCACTGCCCAGTGAAGCTATGCTTCTTGAGTGCGTAAAGTGACGTTGAAACTTGGAAAGGGGGATTTCTAAAGTGCAGTGCAGTGGACCCAGGGATTCCTCTGTAAAGGCTACGTGATATAACAGTGCAATTGTACAAAATACATACTCACGATGAAGTAAATTATGTAACATTTGCTACTTTTAATTAAATAAAATTTAACTCCATTGAAAACTAATGTGCTTTCTTATTGTTCATTTTGTTTCATAATGTATTCTATTCATGGCAAAAAAAATTTTTTTTTCTAGGTAGTGGCTTCTTCAACACATTGAAACATTCACTTCTTCATCAAGAGTCTCTCCTGACCTCTTATGGTGCCAAGCCTCAGCTGCCTTCCATGACACTGTGGGGAGCAGAGGAAGCTGTGAGTGTGTAAGGAGTGTGTGAGTCCTGAGTGTGTAAGGAGTGTGTGAGTCCTGAGTGTGCAAGGAGTGTGTGAGTCCTGAGTGTGTAAGGAGTGTGTAAGTCCTGAGTGTGTAAGGAGTGTGTGAGTCCCGAGAGTGTAAGAAGTGTGTGTGTCCTGAGTGTGTAAGAAGTGTGTAAGTCCCGAGTGTGTAAGGAGTGTGTGAGTCCTGAGTGTGTAAGAAGTATGTGATTCCTGAGTGTGTAAGGAGTGTGTGAGTCCTGAGTGTGTAAGGAGTGTGTGAGTCCTGAGAGCATAAGGAATGTATGAGTCCTGGATGTGTGTAAGGACTGTGTGAAGTCCTGAGTGTGTAAGGTATGTGTGAATTTCTGAATGTGTAAGGAGTGTGGGTCCTGAGTGTGTGAGGAGACTGTGAAGTCCTGAGTGTGTAAAGAGTGTGTGAGGTCCTGAGAAAATATGTGTTATTGACAGGAATCTCTGCCAGCCTTCCTACTAGTGAGGCTAAAAGGCATGGCAAAGCTTTCCTCTAACACAAATACAGTGTTTATGAGCCATTATGTGCAAAACACAAAACAAAACAAAAACTAGCCACTGCAGCTTATTCTTCTCAGGTGACTGCAACCTGAGACCACATAATAAACACGCTGAGGTTCACTGTTATCCTTCCACAATGCACTCTGCGGGATAAACATAATGAGGTTCTAGGTTGTTGGCTCTGCTCTATCAGAGCAAACACCGCACACACATACACACATTGATCCCAGCTTTTCCGTACGTGTGTCTGTCCCTTCTTCATTCATTTGTGGCCCCAGTCAGGCTTCCAGGACTAATCCATGTTGGTCACAGTGATGACCCCTTCACCCCTTCAAAACCAGTACCACCTGAGAGACTCTTGCAGATTACCAAGTTTGGCTTCCAGAACAAGGTTCAGCCTTGGTCCCACTGGTCCACAGCTTGTATGTATGGATACTCTAAGATTTGTGATCCTCGATGATGCTGGTCTCTTCTTAATCACTGACTTCTTACCTCCAGCTAAGTAGCATCAATTGTCCAAGCAAAGCAAAGGTATCAGTTTGGTGGTTCTGGTCCTTTGTTAATCACAGACAATTCCTCAGCCCCAACTGACCAGAACCACACAATCCTACTTCAAACTATCACAGAAGTGACTCATAAAGTCTTTGAAGGACTCTCACACTCTTAGACTGCACAAGCCAGGTCTCCGTTCCTGTGTAATTCTCAGCCTTATCTTCCGGGTTCCCACGACAGTCCATTAAGCTTGGAGCACTAACAGCTTTTTCAGTCCAAAGCTCTGAAATCTTTCAAAAATCCCCCCCCTAACGTGGTTAGGCCTGTTAGAGCAGTATTTTACGAACCCAATACCAATATCTGTCTTAGGGTTTCTTTTGATGTGATAAAACACTACCACCAGAAACAACTAGAGGAGGCAAGAGTTAATTTCAACTTATAGTTGTAGTCCATGGTCAGAATGTGGTCTAGGAATGGAGCCATTTGAAGAGAAGTCTGGATGCTCAAGAAAACAAGAGTCCTGTGACCTCAGCTTCTTCCAATCATGGAATCGTGTTTGCCTGTTCCTACCAGGTGTAGCCAATAGGAATGAGTTTACTTCAGATTACTCATTATTGCTGGCTGTTGTTATTCAATTAAACGTTTAAATATCCTTCATATACCTCTTTAAAGCATGTTTTGGCCACATGCAGTTTGTCCTTGTAGTTGTATACAGCTTGAACTCATGAGAAATTTACTCAGGTAAGTCTTCTTTACCCTCAGAGTATAAATTGTCTGATGCTCTAAATAAAGTTGGCTATTGCATGAGATATTAGGCCACCTTATTTATCAGCTCCACACTCCCAGGTCCCACTACCTCTGGTGTGATACCCGAACAGGAACCCGAAGTCAACTATAAGGTAACCGAGTTGGGACCCTCACAGAAGGAGGTGGGTGAGAAAAATGGGTCAGAAACCAGGGAAGGTGTTGCCTTATGTTACATTTTTGCATCATTTCTAAAGAAAGGAGGAACACACGTATCAAAATCACCACTATTAGACTGCATGCAGGTTGTTTATGATTGTAAGCCCTGGTTTCCTAAAGAAGGAAGTTTAGGTGAAGAAGTATGAGGCAGAGTTCAAAAGAGTATTGAAAAGGCTTACGCCTGTTCAATTTTGAGTTACTTGGGCATTAGGTCAAACTGTTATTAAAATACTTAAGGAAGGATGGACATTAGTCATAAGCACTAATTCCTTGAATGGATATAAACAGGGTGATTGAAGAAAGAGAGAGAGAGGCAGAGAGAGAGAGAAAGAGAGAGAGAGAGAGAGAGAGAGAGAGAGAGAGAGAGAGAGAGAGAAAGAAGTAAAGGAGAGAAAGAAAAGGGGGGGGAGGAGATAGTCCTTATTCAGGAAGACCAGAAAGGAAAATCAACTCCATAATGAACTCCATGACATCTACGCCTCAGTTCCTGAGGCTCCCTTTCTGGAGCCTCCTTTAAATATAAGTCACCATTGCCTGGAAATGACCCTGAAGCAGGGAATGAGGAATCTAATGATCAATCTAATACTGAATTCCTCGACTTCCTGATGAGGATTTAGAAAGGCCATGAAAATGCTAAATTCACAAGGTAGGGCACGACAGAGAAGAGGAATCCATTATCAGTGCCTCCCCAGCCTCATGAGCTGCACTTGGTATTTCCAGGGCAATTTCTGCAAAATCAAAATGTTTATCAGGGATTAGACGTAAATATAATGAAAGATTTTAAGACGGTTTGTGTTTCTTACGGACCTAGTGCTCCGTATTGTTACGAATCTCTTTTTGGTTGAGGCAATGATGCACAGTGTTGGCCATATGGTTTTTAATGTAATGGCCCAATTTCTTCAATAGCAAATGTGGCTTACAGATGAAGCTTGTGAAAAGCTTGACAACGAGGACCAAGGGGGAGATCCTGGAAATGTCATGTAGGAAATGCTGACAGGGACTGGTAGATGGGTATCAACATAATACGGTATCAGCATATGTTGCTAGTATGCCTGCATCCTTCCCACATGTTAGGAACACAGCCATGGCTGCTTGGATGAAAAGCAATAGGGAATCTGAGTTCAGGTCTAGTGATACAAAAATTATGCAAGGTCCCTCTGACCCTCGTGCAGATTTCACAGGGAGATTCAAAGATGCCATTGAGATGCAAGTAAAAGGAGAACAAATTCAAGAGTTATTATTAAAACAGCTGGCTTTTGATAATGCCAATGGAGACTGCCAAGGATTAATCAGACTTCAGAGAGAGAGACAGGAAATGTTAGGGATTTTCTGGAGTTATGTAGAAATGTGGGAAACTATAAACATAGAGCAAAAATAGCTGCTTTAGAGATATATGCTGTTCAAAGGGAGATGTCAGTAAAATGATTCAGTTACTGCTGACCTGGCCACTTAAACAATGTACATTGCCCTTACAACAAACGGATGCTCGGAATCAAGGAGCTCCTGGCTTATTCCCTGAAGGCAAGATAGGAAAACATTGAACTAAGAAATGGTAATCTAAATATAATAAGAATGGCAATACATTGCCTAGCAACAATAACAATACCAGTCAACAACAGGAAAATGGATCAGGCCCTCCCCCCATAAGCCACACAGAATTAGAGGGTTTAATCCAGAAATAATATTTGCACCAGCTTCAGATTGTAACCGGTCTATTCTTGTTTTACAAGCTGCTGCTCAAGGAAGTGCTGCTGTTGATAGTCCTTGCCCATTTCAGCCCTTCGATATCCTAAGTTATACAGGATCCTGGGGACCTATGATCCTGAGACAGTTGGACTTTTATTGGGTCACAGGGGTTTACCCATGAAAGGAATCATAGTTCATACAGGAGTCATAGATGGAGATTCGTTGAAGTAATTATTTAAAACTGGCCTCTGGTTCATCCGACTATCTAAGCTGCAGCGGCTCTGCCTAGCCCAGCCTGGCACCATGTTTCTCGGCCACGTGCACGCTGCAGCTAGAACCGGCCCACCAGAAACACCAGCCCTGCCACCCACTAGATGCCAGTGAGAGAGATGGCTCTGCCAATCTTCCACGCTGTCTCTGAAAGGCAGGGCATTGCCCAGACCATTCCGCCACCCATGCGGGCCCAGTAAGAGAATGAGACTCTAATTCTTATAGATTAATCAAAGGCTTTATATATTTGATAATGTTTAATAACAAGAAGTCCATACAAAGAGAGTTGTATCCCAATTAGCTAACATAATTATAAGTTTATAAGTTGTTCCCCACAAGTGCTCTCCATACCTGTGTGGTTCTCCATCCTCCTACATCTCTGCCGTCTCTAGCTCCTCCTCTTCCTTTTTTCTCTTCCTCTCCCAACTCCTCCTCTTCCTCTCCTTACTCCTCCTACCTTAGCTCCTCCTACAGAGATTTATATAGGGGAGATTGCAGTCATGATCAGGAGAAAAAAATGCAGTTGTTATTATTAGCTTATGTAGTCCTTTCATGGAACAATGCACTTCTGAGGGAGGATTTGGTGGTATAGATAAAACTGTAGCTGTGCGCACCATACTGAGGAAAAATGATAAACCATTATTGAGTTTAAAAATAAGAGGAAAAACTTTTACAGGAAAAACTGACTGTGGAGCTGATGTGTCTATTATAGCTGATAAGTTATTTCTCCACTGGTGAAATAAACCAACTCAAACCAGATTAGAGTATATTAAAGGCAGGGTTTATTGGGAAGCTGCTTTCAGGTGAGTTCACTGGCCCCCAGGACTGAGGCCAGGGGAGTTGACATGGAGGTAGGGGAAGAAATGTGT